AGAAGGAACCCTAGCAAAAGGTAAAGCACTAAAAGTGAACTTCTGTGTTAGGAATCTTCGAATTTAGCGTAGAGCGTAGAGAGGCTTCTTGAATTCAGCGCAATACGTAGCCGGCTCTCAGAATTTAGCGTTGTCGGGACCCCCCTTGCAGGGCCCCTTGAAAGGGCTCACACAGCACATTTTCTGTATCTCTTCGTATTCCCGTCTTAAACAGTGAAAACGCAGTGCCACCGAATCTGTTCTGTTCTCCGTGACCTCATTTCCCTTCCTCAGGCCAAAGTTGGTAGTCTGAGCAATTTCAAGGACACACAGCTCAGGCGGCAGCGTACCGATACTCCCTCAGGTAAACAGGAGTATGTGGCCTTGAAGCTGTGGCCTTGGTATGGCCAAATCAATGTACTGCCTTACATTATGTGTGCTTGCTATAGAAATAAAAAAAAAACTCTTTATTTATGTTTTTTTGATTGGATTCCAGCCAAAATAGTTACGTATTTTAAGGTGTAAGTCTATGGGACAGCGAAATTGGCGTATGAGACCTTAAATACTAGTAGCCGATTTAGCTTAATACACTACATTGCGAACCTGTCTATATTAGCAACCGCTAATATTTCTATCTAGTACTTGACATTGAGACGGTATGAAAATTCATCTACTAGATTTTTAGGCCAAATTCTAAAAACACATATTGAAGAGAGATAACAAATAAAAGTGTGTGTGTGGTTTAGCTAGAGGGCTGAGTCAAGAACTTATTTAAGAAGTGTTGGATGGATTGTCATGATACTCGGTAGGTGGCCTGGGTAGGTGTTGATGAGATTTAAAATGGTTAGAATTTATGCCCATTGGCGGTTGGTTATGGTACTGAAGCGGATTTTCAAGTTTTGATATTTCAGGTCTGGACATGCTACGGTCATGTAGGATGTAATCAGAGATTTATTTATATCATACCCGGGCCGCAATAACGTTCTATAAATGGTTCCGGACCGGACCGTACTTTACGGTATGACCCGGGCTTCCCTGTCTTCCTTTTAACAACGATTCGAACGCGTTTTGCCCTAACCGTGTGCGCCGCTTTCGAAAATTTGAATACAGAATCCGGACGATTGAATTGATGTTATTGCATTTTAGGGTTTAGTGGCACCAATTTTTGGCTCATCTTGCATTGAAAGGCGCGGTTTCTTGGGTAAATAAAATGCATCACGGTGTATCCCGCATCGCCCTCGGTCCCGGCCCTCCCGCGAGTCGGATCACCCTCCGGCCGTCGGGCGATCCGACCTGCGGTCGGGCTGGTACCTCGGGCGATTCGCGGTTTGGGCAGTCGCTTGCTAACCTGATGAAATTATTCTCGTATATATATTTAACATTTGTTTATTGTGGCATTCTCTGCCCAGTTTAGGTGTAAATGAGTAATGTCCTGTAATGTATTTGTCCCGTGTTGGTGGCGGCATTGATATAAGTTGATAAATCTTGATTACATGTTGGATTAAAAAAAAAAATTAGCATGGGAGACGCTGGAATGTATATTTAAAGGGGGAGCTTGGAATCTAGAGCAGTTTGGAACCCATGTTTTCAATTATTGTTTGTAACAGTAAATGTCTTAAAGAAATTTTCTTTTCAGAAATTTAGCTTTACAAACAATAATAAAAATGTGATACTACACACTAGTGACAGTAACCCTAGTCTAACTTTAAAACCTACTAAGTGGTATGCAGCAAATTTTAGAGTTAAAAAAAAAAGAACCACCAAAATCCTTGATTCCAATCTCACCTGGATGCCACCCCCCGTAACATATAAAAGATCTTCCAAAAACAATGCATCGGAGTAAAACCAAAAAGACGACTTCCTTAATTTGTAGGTTGCAATATTTAATAACTGTAACTGCAACAACCCTGACCTTACTTTACATAACCATAACCTAAACTAACATTTAGAACATAACAATTCGAACTCAAATTCGAGTACAGCTACATGAAATGGGCTAAACAGAACTGTAGGTGTAAGACAGTGCTAGAAATAAACAACATTTACCAACAATGTAAACAATAAGCAATGTTTACTACCACTTGCTAACAAAACCTGGACTTAAAAACACTGGTTCTAATTTCTAACGACTATTGTGAATAGTTACTAGCTTTTTTAACCCTCAACAGTACACCTTCCCGGACTGATTAATCTGTACACCTGGGGTCCGCGCGGACCCCAGAACAGTTTTTTTGCTAATTTTTAGAAATCATCAACATGCTACCAGCTCAATTGTGTTGCAAACTGATGTGGGAACCTCTGTGTCCACATTACATACAAAAATCATACATTTTGAACTTTTTCTATTTTTTGGTGAAGAAAAGAAGACAAGAAGAAATATCCGATTTTTAAACCCATTTCAGACTGAAGGGGCTTTTGAGGCCCAACTTTGATCTCAGATAGCGGCTACACGGCTTGCGCTAGAAGTATCAAATTTGGAGACCTTTCCTAAAATGTCTCTATCAAAAAGTTCACATTAGTTTAATACTAGTAAGTTGATGTTTTTTTGTGTTGCCATGGCAACGGGATTCTAGCAGGCAGTTTTTTTGAAAATAGAAGTAATTTTGGTTTAAACATAAAAATTTTCTGAGTTTTATAATAAATTACACTTCTTTTCCAACATTAATAACATCTTACATAATTAAATATAAGTTAAATCATTTAATATGCATAGAATATGCTAATTTGATGACGTCATTGGTCAAAATCCAATATGGCGGACTATATTATTAGCTCTGACGTCATATGACGTAATAATTACACCAAAGTTATAAAAAATTTAATTCTATTACTACACCATTCTCTGAAAACTTGGTAGACATACGATGAGTGCATAAAAACATATAAAAACGGAAATAAGGTAATGTATAAGAACGCCAGTGTATCCATTATGATCGAAAGCCGGCTGGGGTCCGCGCGGACCCCAAAAGAAAATCAGATATAATTTTTTTTATAAATGGTAGAAACGGAGTTTTCTGCACTGTATTGAGAGACAACTTTGTGGGTGACAATTACCTAAAATTTCAGAAAAAAATCTTTAGAAACAAAAAAGATATTACAGAATATATAGTGCTGGGGTCCGCGCGGACCCCAGGTGTACTGTTTAGGGTTAAATACTAAAGTAACATAACCTCTCTACTATCAACTACAATGAATAAAAATGTTGATACCGGTGATAAATAAAAACAAACAACAACAACGCGAACATTCTTGTTAGATCTCATCTTATAGTAGTTTTGTTAGTCAAAGTGTAGTTCTACGGCTGACAAAACACAGATACATATAAGACTGTGTTCGCTGACTTTGAACAATAGCATTCTTTCAACATTGATAAACATGCTAGAAATGTTATGTGACTGGATTGATGTAGCCTGTAACAAAGGCACAAAAATGAGAGAGGTTGAATCTTTGTGAATTTATACAGGTACCGTAGTGGTCATTAAAATAACTTGGTTTCTGTAATGTATGCAACACATTAAACACTCCAGCTGCCATACAAAACAGATTCCACCATAGTGAAAAAGGTCTCTATTCAAAACGGCAACAAGACAGTTTACATACTGTGCATGGGTATTTGCATTTGAAAATTTGCTTGTCGTGATATCAATAGACTGCTCACCACAACAGAGGTTTGCCTTTTACTGACAGTATCTGGATCCACATGCGGCTCTATAGATAAACCAGCTGACTGAACTGCCTGATTAATGCCTTACACATGCAGGTTTTCTCCTTTGTGAGTCCGCATGTGTCCATTCAGTTGACCCAGCCGACTGAACTGCTTGTAGCACTCCTCACACCTGTAGGGTTTCTCCCCTGTGTGAGTCCGCATGTGTCTCTTCAGATGACTTAGTTGACTAAACTGCCTGCTGCACTCATCACACCTGTAGGGTTTCTCGCCAGTGTGAGCATGCATGTGTCTCTTCAGACTACCCAGCCCACTGAACTGGCTACCGCAATCTTCACATCTGTATGATTTCTCTCCTGTGTGAGTCCGTATGTGCTTCTTCAGATTTCCAAGCTCAATGAACTGCCTGCTGCACTCCTCACACCTGTAGGGTTTCTCACCAGTGTGAGTACGCATGTGCCTCTTCAGATGACCAGCCTCACTAAACTGCCTGTCACACTCTTTACATCTGTATGGTTTCTCCCCAGTGTGAGTCCGTATGTGCGACTTCAGATTACCAAGCTGGTTGAACTGACTGCCACACTCCTCACACCTGTAGGGTTTCTCCCCTGTATGAGCATGCATGTGTGTCTTCAGAGTACCCAGCTGACTGAACTGCTTGCTACACTCCTGACACCTGTAGGGTTTCTCACCAGTGTGACTTCGAATGTGCACCTTTAGATGACCCAGTCGACTGAACTGCTTGGCACACTCCTCACACTTGTAGGGTTTCTCTCCAGTGTGAGCACGCATGTGTCTCTTCAGATGACTAAGACGGCAGAACTGTCTGCCACACTCTCCACATCTGTATGGTTTCTCATTTGTGTGAGTCCGGATGTGGTTACTTAGATTTTCTAGCTGACTGAACTGCCTGCCGCACTCCTCACACCTGTAGGGTTTTTCCCCAGTGTGAGTCCGCATGTGTGTCTTCAGAGCACCCAGCTGACTGAAATGCCTGCTGCACTCCTCACACTTGTAGGGTTTCTCCCCTGTGTGAGTCCGCACGTGTCTCTTCAGATTACTAGTACAACTAAACTTCTTGTCACACTCCTCACATTTGTACACTTTCACACATTTGCCCTGCCTCCCAGACTCGAGCTCCTCACGTCTTTCTCCATCTCCAGCAGTGTTGGCAGAACCCCCTACTGATCCTCTCGTGACTTCATCCGATCCCTGTACGCTGCCTGTTGTCGCCATGTCAACAATATCTGGATCGACTTCTGTAAAAAAGAGACAAGAGATCTATAAAACGTGGAGAAATTAGTTTTGTAGTAGTATTATAGTACAGAATACAATTTTTAAAGCAATTAGCGTAATTAGCCAGTTATGGAATCTCGGGCATAGTGCATTCCACAAGTCCTTGTTTGTCAGATCTCTGAAGGTCGTTGTTAACGGTCAGGCATTACAATCTCACAGTCTAAGGTTAACAAACATCTGTTCTCACTGTCTGTACAGTAACCCAAAACATTTTGAGTGGCTCTCGTGAGCCTTCTTTTGTGGTGAACTACGAAGTAAATATATAAAAAAAAAACTAAAATCACCGAGACAACGTAAAAGACGGGCAAATAGCAACCTGTCTTTAGTGTATACGAATGCCAATGCTACGTAGGAACTTCAATGGTGTAATGCCAGTATAAATGTTTTGACACACACGTATTTTTAGGTATTTTTGACATGCTTTTTTGTTCTACTGGTATTTTATTTATATTTACACTAGCCAAACTTCAGTGGTGTAATGGTTACCACACTGCAATTTATACTGTTTGTCAATCTGACTGTCTTCCAGCCATTAAAAGTTCAAAACTTCTGCTTGGAGACTTTTAGTTCTTTACATCCTCTCCCGCTTGTTAGTGAACCGTCCCGCGGAATTCACACTTTCCCGTCTGGCGCTGCGGCGGATAGTCACACGCGGGGCTTACGTAGGAGTTTTACAGTATCCACAAAATTAAAAAAAAAAAACATTATACAGCAGATGAACGCGGTCCTCACCGCTAACACCAAAATCTGTTGACAAAAGTGAGACTTCTATTCTGCGCAAAAATTGCACCCTGATTTGCGATAATTTTCCTCTGCTAATTTGATGCGACGATTACTAACAACGATCTAGTAACCCCCTACCGACCCTCAATATATTTACAGTTTCTACTTTGCCGCGTCAGCTTTTTACTTCTTTGAACTATACTTTGAGAGTGAAACATGGAAAAGTACAATCCAGCACCATCTATGTCAGATAATTCCCTAAACCAGTGATCCACACTACGAGATGTATTTGCTACACTGAAATAAACTCAGTTTCACTGGAGTGGATGCATGCATATGATATCCCACACAAACGTATGCACATGTACATACCACCAAACAAACCACTGATTTGCCGATTCTACAAACCTTCGAATACCAACACGTGCTAGTTTTTCTTACCTGGAAACTAGGCTATACACTGTGGCCAGTGAAATCACTGCCCAACGCGATTGCGGACTCCTCCAAAGCCGGAAAACTCCTCAAGATGTCTGTCAAGATTCCCAACCGAGGCGAAGGCGCAATGCTGTAACCCGGAAGTATTCGCCAGTCTGAGGTCAAACTTCACTACCTGATTACCCAACAAATGTACACGGACCTTAGCCGTGTGCAGTATGTACACGTAGTCAGGGTTGCTGTCTTACAATAAATGTACTAGTGGAGGTAGACATCATTCCATGATCTTTCATGTACTAGTAGAACATGGGCATTGTGACAGATGCTGAGATGGTATGAAAAGTCAAATACTCGAATTGAAGAGGTATGAAAAGTCGAATACACAACAAAAAGTGACAAAACCAAAACTTTTTTTTACCTTCACCAAGAAGGTTATCTCTCCGTACCGTTTGTGTGTGTGTGTGTGTGTGTGTGCGTGTGTGTGTGTGACTGTGTGTGTGTTTGTGTGACTATGAATGAATGAATGAATGAATGAATGAATGAATGAATGAATGAATGAATGAATGAATGAATGAATGAATGAATGAATGAAAACTTTATTTCCGTGTCGTGCGCTTTCCCGCGCCCAGCCCGCGTGGGCTTATACGACACCGTTTCAATAAGTTATACATAAACAAAAATGAATCAAAGGTACAGATTACGGAATACAAACAAAATGTGTGTGTGACTGTGTGTGTGTGTGTGTGTGTGTGTGTGTGTGTGTGTGTGTGCGTGTGTGTGTGTGTGTGTGTGTGTGTGTGTGTGTGTGTGTGTGTGAGTGCGTGTGTGAGTGGCGCGTGTGTGATTGTGTGTGTGACTGTGTGTGTGACTGTGTGTGTGTGTGCGTGTGACTGTGTGTGTGTGTGTGACTGTGTGTGTGTGTGTGTATGTGTGTGTGTATGTGTGACTTTGTGTGTGTGCGCGTGTTTGTGTGTGTGACTGTGTATGTGAGACTGTGTGAGTGTGTGTGTGTGTGTGTGTGTGTGTACATGTGTGTGTGTTTGTGTGTGGTTCTTCAGCTAGCACGATAACTCAAGTGTCTATAAGATCAACGTGGGAGCAAAGGTCGAAAGATTTTTTTCTCCATGGGTGGAAGAGGATCACCCAATTTTGTTCAGATTCTCATAAAATATGGAGTTCAAATTAACTCCAACAAACATAGAGTAACAATTCCAGTCGTCTAACCATTCTTGGATACCTTTCCTTTTGCCCATTTGGTGGATATAGACATAGTATAGTGATTTTTTCATTATTTAATTTGACGTTGACAGCAATCTTTCACTTCAGTGTCTGCTTTTTGCTCAATGATTTCCATCTATACTTTATTTTCAAATTGCTAAAAACTTGATAAGCTTTACATTCAAATCCCCATCACAACACAAAACAGGATACGGCGATTACATTGTATATGTTACAGGGGAGATTAGAATCCAGGGGAATCCGGAATCCTCCTATGGGAGATTGGAATTCTTATCTCCCCTATGGGAGACTGGCATTCACGTTTTTCTTCTACAAAACTGATATCTGACTAGAAAGGCCAATATTTGCTTTGGAGCAAATACAGCGATGGGTTCACCACATTTTACCACATGGCAGGGAAAGAATGAGAAACACAAGGGAAAACAATGATTTACATTGATATAACTATAATATGAAGTAACATACAACTAAAACAACAGTTGGATAGCTATTCCCTACTTTATTGGTTAGGATTTTTTAATTGCATAATGCAAACTGTTGATTTTCAAAATAAACAAAAAACGTTCATGCCCCGCATTCCAATGCTGGAGCAGAAAAGCTTGAAATACCTACCAAAACACTTGAATAAAGACATACTGTCAGTATGGAAATGCTCTGTGCAGGTGTTAATCAAGTTAAATCCCAACAGCCAATCAGCAAGAAATGCTCTGTGCAGGTGGAAATGCTCTGTGCAGGTGTTAATCAAGTTAAATCCCAATAGCCAATCAGCAAGAAGAATAGAGGAAAGCTGCATGCCTATTGGTTGATGCCCTGCATTCCATTGTGATAACTCATGCCCAGACGTGGTAAACACGGCACACTAACACAGTAATACATTTGCTATAACACAGCCAAAAAACTCAAATAAAACCATTCTAAAAGCCTGTATCACAAAAATTTAAAAAACGCCTAGGGGTATTTGCCCACTGTGCCTCCATACCAAATTTCAGGACCTTAGGCCCTAAAATGAAGAAGCTGAATCCATTTAAAAAATGGCAGGAGAAGAAGGAGGAGAAGGAGGAGGAGAAGAACACCAGAAAAAGCAATATGGTTTCACCTCACCACTTCGTGGTGTGGTGAACCCATAAAACATAAAAGCCCATCGCAGTGCCATT